CCATGGGAAACGGCTTGCCTCTGTTCTCACCGTGACAGAGGAGCCCTACATCGTGTGTGCGGAGAAACCAAACCCACTAACTAAGCTTTTGAGTACACAAAGACCCATGTACCCTCTTACACAAGGATCCCTGACGTCGATATAAGACGATCAGGTCAGGTATAGAGATTGGAGTGGGTGACTGTATGGCTAGTGTTTCTCTCCTATACCCACTGTCATCCAACTAACACCTCGCCAAGGGGATTGCAGTGTGCGAAAGAAATTGTGTGTGAATGCAGAGGGATTATGGGTACAACAGGCTCACCTTCGAACTTCTCTGGAACCACACGAGAGTCATTTTCAAACAGATAGCCTGGGAGACAAAGACAGAATTGTGTTAGAGTTTCAAGGGGCCTTGATCTTAGCACAAATAGGTTGTTCATTTGGGATCGGTGCCAAGCTTTGAATACCATCCCAACAAAATACAAGCATCTATTCATGCATTGAATAACGTTAAGCCAATAAGTGTGTACTCTACTTTTACAAAAGTAGACCAGAGCACTTCAGTAACAGGGAGAGGATTTCATATTGGAAACATTTGAAAGAGACTTGGATCTTTGCTCCCAGTTTCAGAGCCTGTGAACTTATTGTAACATCTCCTGGGCATTTAGGATTCATTCCTTCACTCTTATGTACTAAACATAATTGGCGAACAAGAATTTGAATTACCCAAAATGGTGTAACAAACAATGAGAGTGAAGAGAAGGATTGTTTTTCCTTTTTTGCTGGGGAAATAGGGTCCTTTTTCCAGGAGTTATGTTTATTCAAGGATTCTTGAGGCAGGGGTGAGGCGAGAGCCTCTGCCAATGGAAACATAGACACACCGCTGGTTAGCCAATGGAAACATGGACACTCTACGCCGGTTAGCCAATGACCGCAGAGCTCTAACCAGTGATGGCTCAATGTAGATAAAGCATACGAGAGGAGGAGATTGAACACATACAATACTGACATCACTATGATTCCTATACTATAACTATAATTTGGCAGGGCTGGGGTTAGGGATGAAATAAAGGTCACAATATAAGTTGAAGAGAAAATGCAAAGATTCTGATTACCTTCATTGCTATGCTGGGGGTTTGGGTAGCCCTCATTGTGGTGGTACATAGAGGGACATCCAGGCACATCTGCAATGGAATCACAAAGCTATAGGTCAAAATTTAACTTATTTGAACAGTTAAACAATGATAAACACAATGCACAACCATTGGATAAATCTCCACCCATCCATCTATTCATCCATTCTCTGTTTAACAACAGAAAATTAGATTTGTGGCCAAATCTGTGGTTTCTTATCAACCTTGTTGTGACAGGAAGACTGTCCATGAGGGGTTAATTGTTGGAGAATAATCACTTTAGTAAATATCATAAGTTCAAGTGAATAAAGACCCAAATGTCCTGGTATATCAGCCAATATCAGCTAGAGAACGTGTGTGTATTAAATGGATAGTGTATGTGATCAGCCCGAACATTGCAAGGACAAATGCTGCATTTATCATATCACTTCTCTTGTCTCTGGCGGTATTTTTAGGCCATGAGCAAGCACCTTCACCAGACCAGAAAAGTGGTACAGTATACAGTGTCTGCACTTTATCTGGGCACATCATTGACTGACTCCACTAGATGCATTCCCCGAAAATAGATTTTATATTCCTCCTCATAAACCCTTAGGCAAAATTCTCTGCAAGTTGGAACCCATTTATGTTATAATGAGTTCTGCAATCTGAGCAGTGTTGCTAAAAAGTTTTGTGGGCCATATCCTGTGACTGCTCTGCTCACCTTTGTGTGTTTTTGTATGTTTTTCTTTGTCTGTCCGTGCATAAAAAAAAAGGTGTGTCACTCACTATTCTATTTGTATTTGTTTTTATAAAGTCTGTCAACTGTATGAAAGAGACTAGCAAGAGCATAAAGACTGAAAGGTGCAGCTCTTTGCTTCTGGCTCTGGCCGTGACTCACTCCTGGGGAATGCAGCTGCAGCACTGTGACTGTGATAAGATGCCATTGGGGAAAATCAAACCCTCCATTCTGGGGCAGCAGCACTCGATCATACTGTAAATAATATGTCTGCCTGCAATGGCAGGCTCTCACCAGGGAGTGATGGGTAGGTTGGGTGTGAGAGCATCGGGGTTAATTGTGTACTGAGTGGCATGACCATTTTGTGTCTTTCATGCGACACAATAGCAGTGATTAAGCGCTGGAATGCCAATTTGTATGTGAAACTAGGAGTCTCATTTTTAAGCCTGCTTTTAAAATGAGACTGTAGACTTGTGGCATTTGGCTTTCATTGTTCACATTGTAGACATCAAAAGAAAGCACAGGTGTTGTTGTCATTACACGCCATTTACTTCAATACACATCTTTTGTACGCTCCATTACTTTCTTCCCATTACATGCCCATGACTTTACAGTTTGGGACAGGTTTTCTTTCAATTAAACGACGGTGAATGCATCATAGATCAGCCCCAAATAAACAACAATCATTACGGCCAATTTAGTGCAGTTGGCTTAGAAATCATATTGGGGCCTATGTTTTGTTTGCAGGGTGTATTCACTTAAAAGCTCTTTAAACACAAATGATCCAATTAACTGCCTGACAGAAACCATCTTTTTACTGCATTTGCAAATTAAATATACATTACTTTAAATGGTGGTGGATTAAGGTCTCCTTTTTCTAGTGATGTGGATTTTTTAAAGACTACCTTGAATTCTATGACCAATCCCTTTTAACAAATTAACTTTTTTATTTATGCTTCGTACAGCATTCCTTTCATACACACGGTTCTATAGACAGTTGATTGAGAGTCTGAGCTCAAGGAGATCTAGCGGTAATCGAGTGAAATTTGTCACCCTTTATTATCTTGTGAAACGTGCAGTGTCTTGTTTAACTGTCTGCAAAAGAGTGATAAACTCTGATCTCGTATGTCTGATCGGCCTCTGCATTTGGTCAAACTCATATCAGAGGCACTTCTTAAGGAAACCACACCAAATTCAACTTTCTCCTTCTCCCGGGCGGTTATCCACAAACAAACATCCTTTTGTACTTCTTTCTCAAGGTTGTGCGACTCCTTGTCAGCGCTATCGGGCCCCCTTATCAAAGGTGCAAGCATAAAAACCTACAGAGTGAAAAGAATTAGGTCGCTTTTCCTTGGGTTTTTATTATGCGTAAAGTGCGCTGGTTTCAGTGCTGGAAGGCATGCTTTGTAGCCAGCTGCTAATATACATGTGGGACCTGTGGGAATCTCAACAATAGCTTTTCTGCTCTGTCCTATAGAAGCTTTAATACAGGTGAACGAGTACACAATGTATGCAGAGTGTTAGATTTCTCACTCCTTGTTTTAAATTCAGAGAGGCAAGCAGAGGAGCTGGTTTCTGTGCTCTCCAGTGGTAGAGCTTGTTGTTAAAACGCCTGAGCTGGCTACC